TGTCTGGCACTGAGCCAGATACAGACGCGTTTTTACAGCACTGCGCATTAACCAATCACACACGATGCTGTTGAGCTTATGAATGCAATGACCAATCAGAGGTGTTCAGATGAGTAATCGCTAAAATGCCAGCGTTTTCTTCACTCGCTCGCTGAATGTATACCTCTTTCTGGCGAATTCTCTCGTCAAAAACAACAAAGTGCAAATGTGAGTACGAATCTGTAAGATATTAATTTCATAGTGTAAACAGCTTCAGTAATTTTAATGGGAGTTTTTGAGAGTGCTTGAACTAGACTGTCAGTGAAAATGTTCTTTGATAATGTAAATGTTCTTTGCTCTCTTTCTGTACAATGAAAGTGTTATGATGATAAGTAGCCTAACTTACAATGTTTTTATTCACATTAACTTTCAATGTTAAAATCACATTAAATATAAACTCGTATTAAAAATATGAACCATTGCCCACTATAGATCAACATAATCTATAAGGTAAGAATCAAGATATTTTATGATCGATGTTTCATGTTCCTGTGGCTCGGTGGTAGAGCATTGCATTAGCAGCGCTGAAGGTCGTGGGTTCAATTCCCAGAGAACACACATACTGGTAAAAAAATGTATAGCCTGAATGCACTGTAAGTCAGCATCTGCTAAATGCATTAATTCATTATTATATAGTTAATGCTTTTGGGGATGTTTCGAATAAAAAGGAAAAAATAAATAAAACATAACTGGTGCTTGAGGCAGACAGAATAACTCCTATTAGTTAAATATGAGCAGAACCATTATAGCACCATACCCCGAAGGCCCACACATGCTTCTAGACATGATAAGAGAATATTGTGATCGACCAAGTCAAATGCAGAGCTAAGGTCTAGCAAGACCAAAGCCATAGATTGCCAGGTATCAGTGGTGAGAATTATAAGAGGGCCGATTCGGTGCTGTGACTGGCTTTAAAACCAGACTGAAATTTCTCATGTATATAGTTATCCTTCAAAAAAAGACAGACATTGGCTTAGGACAGCTTTTTCAAAAATGTTTGAAATTTTAGCTGATAGCTTGAAAAACTTGCTTAAGAAAATGTGTGAGAATCACATCCTGAGGGCAGCTAGTAGGTTTTAAACTTGCAACAATCTCATTAAGGGAGTCCAAGGTGATAGGCTCAAAGACAGACCATGTAGAGGAGAAAAAGGGGACATCAAGTGGCGTATAGGCTGACAAAGGCATTAGAGATGTAATCAGTGAGATCTTATCTTTAAAATATCTCGCAAAATCCTCACAGAGAGAGTCAGACGTCTCTTGAAAATTATTAATAGTGGGATTGAGAACAGAATCAGTTATTGAAAATAAGGCATTAGGCCTGATACTTTTACATAAAATCAACTCTGAGAGATATTTATGCTTGGAAGCATTAGCAGCTCACTGAAATGCAGAAAGGGAGTCCTTTAGGATTCCATAGGAGAATATATCCTTATTCCACTTACGTTCAGCCCTTCTACAGATCTGTCTGAGCCAAGGCTTAGAGTTGTGCTTATGTTTTTTCACCTTAAGAGGAGCAACAACATTTAAAATATTAGAACAGTTGGAATTAAAAAAGTTAAAATGTTCATCAGCATCCAGATAGCTTAAAGATGAGTACATGTCCTGATTGGCACGTAGTTCGAAATATAATGCAGTAAAATCCTCGCTTGAGCAGTTGGTAAAGACACGAATCAACCGTGGACAGGGTTGATGCTTATGTGTAGTTACAGTAAAAGGTAAAGAGAACAGGCTGTCCTGGTATTTAGACCAAGCAGCACTGCAAGTATGATGCTGTGCATTGCTTTTGTACAAGA